GGGGCAGTTTAAAGACTAGTCCTGGCTAGCCTGTACCAAGTTGGCCTTAAACTTGTGGTGTTGATCTTTCTACTTTTTCCTCCTGAGTGCTAGATCTGGCTGCTAATCTCTCTTAAAACCTAGATAAGGGAGGGGGTAGAGGGGTGGCTCAGCAGTTAAGACCACTTGCTGCTCTTCCAGAGTCTATGACAAGCTGTAGAATGAGTAGACTTCCTTTTTTTTTTTTTTTTTTGTCTTGTAGATACCCTAAGTCATACTGGCTTTCCACTTACAATACTGGAAAAGCTTGCATCCAAAATGCAGTCTTCTGAAAAAGAAACCAATAGTTTAAAGATACAACTGGAAGTGGATTGATGGTTTCTAGATTGATCTCAGCCTTTTCACTAAGGTCAAATGTTGTGTGTGGCTGACACTGGGCCACTCTCTCCAGGGGGATTGGAGCAGGCACTCGGGGGTGGATAAGACTGAGAAATACAAACAGATGACTGTTGCCTCCCCATATTTACTTTCAGTTGTGCTCGTTGGGTAAAATTTTGTCTTTATCTCACTAGAAAGTGGAGGCAAACTGGCCAGGAACTTACTGTTTAAAGATGTCTGATGTAAAGTAAGTGGGACTTTTTAGCAGGGTGCACTGGCATTAGTTGGCTTAAGGGTGTGCTCATCCCTGTGACTGTAGCCCTGAGACCAGAAGCCTCTGTTTGAGGCCCCCAACACATCGGGCTTTGCCTCATTTATTCAGTGACTGAGGGGTGGGATGGGGTGCGTGATTGTTATGTGGGAGTTGGAGGACAACTTACAATCATTTCTCTCCTTCCACTACATGGGTGGATTCTGGGCATCTGACTCAGGTCGTCAGGCTCGGAAGCAAGTGCTTGCCCGCCCTGTGCTGAGCTGTTCTTTCGATTTTGTCTTTTGTATTGTTGAGACAGTATCTCTCTACATAATCCTTGCTGTCTTGGAACTCACTCTGTAGACCGTGCAGGCCTCAAACTCAGAGATCCACCTGTCTGCCTCCCAAGTGCTGGGAATAAAGGTTTGCACCACCACACCCGGCTCTGTGTTGGGCTTTTCAAGGAATGTAACCCCTTGGTGTGGACCCTTCCTGCCAGAAGTGAGTTTGCTTCCCATACCTTTTTTGGGGGGAGGGCGTTCGAGACAGGGTTTCTCTGTGTCCTGGAACTAGCTCTTGTAGACCAGGCTGGCCTCGAACTCACAGAGATCCACCTGCCTCTGCCTCCCGAGTGCTGGGATTAAAGGCGTGCACCACCACTGCTTGCTATCCACTAGCCTTCTTGATACTGTATCTCTAACACTGCATTAGTTGCCAGGGCAATACTTACTTGCCGTAAGTATGGGTGTTAGAAGGATTGTAGGCCCTGGAAGCCTATCTGCCCTTTGTGAGTTAGATGATGGCCAAGGAAGCACATTGGTTGGGATGCTGGTCTGCATCACAGATAGCACTTGGTATTGCCCGTCTCTTATTGGAGTTATTCAGTCCATCTTAATCTCGTCTTTAATGCAGACAGGACTCCAGAACCATCATCCCCACTTTAAACCATCTGCAGCTGCTAGTACCTCCTTGCCCATCCTTTCTGGAGGACACAGGATACTCCTGGCTGAAAAGGTGCCCTTGTGCTTATGTGTGTCTTATGTTTAATTTTGTTCCAACCACAGGCATCAGGCATTATGGTTGGGGACACCATAGCATGAGGAACTGTCTTGTGTTAGGAAGGTTGGGAACACTGCTGTTGGGGAATTTAAGACTTTCTGTAACAAAGCTGAAGGGACAAAGTGTTCATCACAGAGATGAACAGAACTGAGTCCAGAAACACAGCAAAGGTTTGATGGGAACTCAGTGGAGGAAGCTGATTTTCAAAAGTGGTATTAGAACTATTGGACATCCATGTGCAAGGGACATTGACCTAGAGCTGCCTGCTACAAAATTAATTCAAAAGCGGTCTCGGATGTAGCATAGGACTGTAAAATTTCTAATGAATGTGAGGGTCTCATGGCCTGGGCTGTTCAAGAAGCTCTTGGATATGACTCTAAAAGCACAAACCATAAGCAGAAGAAATCAATAAAATAGAAATCATCAAAACCTTGTTCATTCTATAAAAACCAATATGAGGTAAATGGAATGGCAAGCTACAGACCTGGGAAAATATTTACAAATCATGTAGTCATCAAAGAGCTGTACTGCAATATATGTAAAGAACTCTCAGAACTCTGTTTTTAAACAACCCAATTTAAAAGGAGGCATAAAATAAAAACACTTGCCAGAGAGGGCCTGTGGGTAGCAAGTGAACACTTGAAAAAATGTTCCGTACCATTAACTATTAGGAAATGCAAATTACACCACGAGATGGGGTATACTTCAGAAGTAAAGAACAGACGCAGGGTACCTAGTGATGACCACTAGGTCTGCTTCGATTGCGGGCTGCTGGCGGGAGTACACATGACACAGCAGCCCTGGAAGATGGCTTGGCAGTTCCTTCTAAAGCCAAACACCAGGGGCTGCAGAAGGGCTCAGCGGTTAAGGACCCTTGTTGCTACTCCAGAAGACACTCGTGTTCAGTGGCTCATCACGACTCAGGCTCTAGCTCCTTCCTCAGGCTTCCAAGAGCACCTCTCTCTCTGTCCTATTTGAGCGCGGTCACTATAGCTCTGGCTGACCTGCCTCCCAAGTACTGGGACTAAAGGTGTGTGCCACCGCTCCGGCCCAATAAAAACATTGAAAAAGCCAACCATCCATTTACTTGGACCTGCTGCTTTTTTGTTTCGTTTTGTTTTCTTTTGTGTGTATGTGTGTGTACAACATGCATGTCAGCCTTCCAGTAGATGTTTGTGACCCAAACAGCCCAAACCGTGGGTAGTTGCACATGAATGTTGCCCAAATGTCCTTCAGGGGATGCGGGGATAAACAGACTCGTCCTTTGTCCAGCAATGAGAAAGGAGAACTAGGCGAATGCTGCAGGAACAATGAGCAAGCTGCTCAGTGCGCGTAAGCAACAGTGGCTGAATCCAGGGGCAGGCTGCAGGAAGAAGGCAGCCTCCCTGGTTGGACACCACATGCTTTGACAGATGCCATTCTTAAAAGGCAAAACCCAGGATGGTGGCAGGCCATAGGGTGGGTGGAGCATCTCCCAAGGAACATTGTCAGTCTGGCTCTCTGTGTCCTGCACGGAAGTAGTGATACAGATGTCTGGTCTATCAGCATGACTGCACACGCAAGGACATTGATTTCCCTACATGATCATTTAAAGTAAAACAGACTCCCACACCCTGCAACAGTCGCTCCAGGGCACTAAGTACTGAACAAAAGCTTTGAAATAGATAAATGTGACGTAAAAGCAATTGATATTGGAAGATGTGTATGTCTATAAACTGGCTTCTCACTATGTAAATAAGCAGAAGGTGAAATTTGCCACAGAAGCTAGCCATAAGCTCTTTCCATATCTGGAGCAGCCAGCTGATTTTACATCTTTTTTATATTCTTCTTTTGTTTTGTTTGAAACAGGGTTTCTCTGTAGTCTTGGCTGTCCTGGAACTCACTCTGTAGACCAGTGCTGGGATTAAAGGTGTGCACCACCACCCTGCTGTTTTACTTTTTTTTTTAAGATTATTACTAGTAGCATATAAGAAGTTGCATCCGGTGCCCATAGTTGTTTAATATTTCAATAAAACTTTCCAACTTTTTCCAAGTATTTTATGTGTGTGGGTGTTTTGCCTGTGTGTGTGTATATGTGTACCACATACAGGTCTGATGCCTGCCGTGAGGGTGCTTGCATTTTGGGCCTTTGAGACAGCCTTCCAGTGGGTGTTTGTGTCTTTAATCTTATGCTGTCTCAGTCTGGGCCTCAGATGCTTATGCAAGGTGTTTTGGGGAGCCTGAGGACACACTGGCCACTGTTTGTTTGCCTTAGCCAGGTCCTTTTGTCCATCCTCCCCAACTGCAGGATGTAGTGTAGTTGGGGCCTTGGCTGCCCAATGGGGCTTTACCAAGCTCCATGCATATGAACTGTGAGGGTGTGTGTGTGTGTGTGTGTGTGTGTGTGTGTGTGTCTGCAGTGACTGTGCAAAGCCTCCCGGTTTGAGATCTGGTGGGATAGGTTAAGTCAGTTGTAGACATTGGAGATGGATCCAGGGTATGAGTACACAAGGCAGTGAACCCTGAGTCAGCGATCCCCAGAAGTCTTTCCCGACATGGAAAAGGTGTGCACAGGCCTTCAAGCTGCAGCTACTGGAGAAGATGTGTTGGGGGAGATGGCAAGGGACACAGGTGGAGGCTTCCACACCAGGAAGGATGGCAGACTAACTTGCAGGCTGGAGTTTCTGAAGGCCAGGTCCCAGCTACCTTCCTGAAGGCATGTGTGGGAAACTGTTGATAAACACAGACTCCCCAGGCTGCACACAGGTCAGGCATTGCGGTGATGCCAGTGCCCAGAGGGCATGTGTTCTGCAGTTGGATTCCTTTGTGCTGTACAATCAGGACTTTGTGGGAGGAGTGTGACCAAAGAGTTTCCTCTAAGTTGGACTTAGGCCTGTGTGCTACACTAGCATTTCCTGCTTAGTAGTGCAGCTAGCTCTCTCTCTCTCTGAGAAGCCATGCTAAGCTTTCCACTTGGGAATGCTGCAGGATTTGTTTGTTTGTTTTTTGTTTTTCAAGGCAGGGTTTCTCTGTGGCTTTGGAAGCTGTCCTGGAACTCGCTCTTGTAGACTAAGCTGGTCTCGAATTCACAGAGATCTACCTGCCTCTGCTTCCCAAGTGCTGGGATTTAAAGGTGTGAGCCACCACCACCCGGCTTGGGAATGCTGCAGTTTTAGGATTTCCATGGGAACCTGCTTGTGGATACACCACAAAACCAGGACACTTTGTGTTTCTTCAGACATCCCCATCTTGTGGGGCTTGGGGCCCTCCTTTGTCTTTGTTGGGGAAGCAGTGCGGTGGGATCTGGGGAAGATGGTAGGCATTCACAGTTTCCTGATATTTCTTGTCCCAGGAGCAACAGCCGAGCTGGACTGATGACCTGCCGCTCTGTCATCTCTCAGGAGTCGGCTCAGCTTCCAACCGCAGCTATTCTGCTGATGGTAAGGGCACCGAGAGCCACCCTCCTGAGGACAACTGGCTCAAGTTCAGGTATGTGTGGCTTGACTGTCCTGGACAGAGAAAGTCAGTTTATGAGTAAGGAAAGATGCTGCCTAGCCCCTGCTGTGTATGAGGCTTGCCTGTGAAGTGGGGTTGTAGGAAATGACCATTGCTGTGGTCCTTTCTGTGTCTAATTCAGCCAACGGCCCGCTATGGGATAGAGAAGGAGTAGGCTGAGAGGGAGGATTCAGCAAGCAGGTCATTTTCATAGTGAAATGATGGCCACTATGAGGGGACCCAGATGAGTACCTGAAGCCTTTTCTGCCTGTAGCCCCTCCCCATTTCCTTCTTCCCCATCACCTGCATGTCCCTGGCCTCAGCCTTCTTCCTGCCCTCCCTCCGCTAGAAGTGAAAACAACTGCTTCCTGTATGGGGTCTTCAATGGCTATGACGGCAACCGGGTGACCAACTTTGTGGCCCAGAGACTCTCTGCAGAGCTCCTGCTGGGCCAGCTCAACACGGAACACACTGAGGCTGATGTGCGGCGGGTCCTGCTGCAGGTGAGGTTGGGCTAGCTGCCAGTGGCCCGTCTGACTGTGTGTCCTCTCCTTCCTGGAACTTGAGCCCTGCAGCTCTAAGTGTGGACAGGGTGATCTGAAGATTGCCTGCTTCTTCATCTCCCACAAGGACCAGTTCTGGGTACAGTTCATGGCCGCAGGGGTTCCTCTCCCCCAGGAGTCCAGGGCTGAGCTGGGAGGAGGCATCACAGGCATGGAGAATGGAGGCCTGTGGGGATATGGTCCTTAACAGTGACCCCTTGGCTTGGGATGTAGCTAGGTGCTCATCTCCAGTGCTGACAGCATCCTGCATGGTCTGCAACTCTTCCCACCCCTGCTCTGGCCTGCACCTCACCAGCCAGGCCTGTGTTCTTCTGTTGCTGTGCTGGGGTTTCCGTCTACCTAGAAATGCTTCTTGGTCTTTGAGAAGTCGCCCCAGCCTTTTCCTGTTCTCTGTGACCTCAGGACTCCTCGACTGGAGCATTGCAGAGGCTATACCAGGGAAAGCTTTCTGCTTCACCAGTGTCCAGCAGGTTCTGACTAAGGCCTCTTCAGAAGAGGTCACCATGCCACTGCAGACTCTCATTGGCCAAGCACTCCTCTGAGCCCAGTGCTATGGGTAGATTCTCTCACTTGACATGAACCCAAATGTGCAGCGCTGGAGTTTACACCTCACTAGTCTTAAGCACAGGACCTGGCTCTTGCTCCTGCCTCTCTGATTCCTTTGTAGGCTGCCTAAGTAGCACCCTTCTCCCATCCCACAGCTACAGATCCTTGTCAAACAATGGCCAGGAAGGCTCACATATGAGGCAGACATGATATGTGTCACTCACCAGTCACATGAGACCTGCCATGAATACCATGGTTCTGTTATTCTCCATAGGGACATCTTAGCAGGAGGTGATGGTATTGTTTGAGCCAGCCCTTGCCTTGCCCTGTGTCCCTTCAGGCCTTCGATGTGGTAGAGAGGAGCTTCCTGGAGTCCATTGATGATGCCTTGGCTGAGAAAGCAAGCCTCCAGTCCCAGCTGCCAGAGGTAATGGCCTATCTGTACTGCTAGCATTAATCCTCCATGTCTCTTGCTACCCATGGGCATAGCAAGGCCTGCAGCAGAATCATGAGGCAGCATCCTGCTGGGGAGACTGGGATAGCAGTGGGTGTGTCCCTGTGGGGACTCTTTGCCAGCAGTGGGCACATCCTTGGATGGCAGCAGTAGGTGGAGGGAAAGGTCTTCCTACGTTCTGTGATCTGGTTCACTCGAGAGCCAGGGTCCCCTTCAGGCTGCCCTTGGTTAAAGTCCCAGTGGCCTTCCTGGGCATCCAGCCTGGCTGTGTCTTTGCTGATCATCTGTCTGCTCTATCTCAAGGGAAGGAGAGAATGGGTAAGATGGCCCTCAAGCACCTGTGTACTCTGACCTCTCTTGATGGTGGCTTGCAGGGTGTGCCCCAGCACCAGCTGCCCCCTCAGTATCAGAAGATCCTTGAGAGGCTCAAGGCACTGGAGAGGGAGATTTCAGGAGGGGCCATGGCCGTTGTGGCAGTCCTTCTCAACAACAAGCTCTATGTCGCCAATGTCGGTGAGCCACCCGCCTGCCCCACACCAGTCTGCTTCCTGTACGTGCGTACCCTGAGCTTCTCAGGGCTGCCGCCTGTTTCCCCCTCACTCTGTCGTGTGTGTCAATCCCAGATGGAAGGCGAGCGGATGGGGCAGGGAGAGGCATCTGGCTTTGGATGAATTGCATCCATGTTACTCTTGTTTTAATCTGTGTTCATGAGTGTTTTATCTGCATGTATGTCTGTGTGCCACATGTGTGCCTGGTGCTTGTGGAGGCCAGAAGTGGGCATCTGACTTTCTGGAACTGGAGTTAAAGGTGGTTGTGAGCCATCACGTGAGTCGTGGAATAGACTTTAGAAGAGCAACCAATGCTCTTAACTGCTGAGCCATCTCTGGGCAGGGTGGTGGCGGGCATGGGGGGCGTGGGGGTGTGTGTCTGCAAATACCAGGCTAGCAGAGTAATGACCTAGTCCCTGTGAGACAAGAAGGAAATCCAGTTCAACATGATTCAGTAGCTAGTGTTGGTTCAAACAGTGTTTCTCAATCTGGGGGTCAAACAGCCTTTCACAGGGGTTGCCTGAGACCATTGGAAAACATAGATATTTACATTATGATTTATAGCAGTAGCAAAATCAGTTATGAAGTAGCAACAAGAGTAATTTTGTGGTGGGGGTCACCACAACATGAAGAAACAGTTCAAGCATAGGAAGGTTGAGAACCACTGCGCTAGAGTCTGACCCCAGGTAGTTTATTTTAGGCATATTTAAGTACAGTACAGTTCGGAAAAAAGTTTCCAAGTACAACACAATCCTTTGTGCACAGTAAGGCATAATTACATCAAAACTCTTTTCTTTTGAGATAGGATCTGTCCTGACTGTCCTGGAATTCATTATATAGACCAGGCTGGTCTTGAACTTACAGAGATCAACCTGCCTCTGCCTCCCAATTGCTGGGATTAAAGGTGTTCAGCACCATGCCCCATGAAACTCTTTCCCAAGTACATGTCAGTTCTTCCATGAAGTTGTGTTCTACACATAGGCTACATGTATTAAGGACCTCGGGGACGATCTGATGGGATCTTGGGCATGCAGATAGCACAGAGGTCACCTAGGCTATTAACTGCCTTAGGTTCTATTTGTGGGAGTCTGGGGGAGCCACATGTTGCCTGCCCCTGCACATAGCGCAGAGGTCTCCTAATGGAGGTTAGCTACCTCCATTCCCAGATATCTGGGCAGAAAACAGGTTATATATCTCTCCCTTTGAAGAGACAACCCTCCATGTCCAACACTCCTGGTTTCCTTAGTTAGTGCTTATCTGTGAGTGCGAGAACCTCTGTGCTCCCAACATCTCCAGACCCATGGCTTCTTTTGAAAGAAGTTATGTAAAGGCTTGCTTAGCACTCTCAAAAAACAGTAGGAAGCTGGGTGATAGGGACATTTGGATTTAAGGAGGGGCCATCGGGGGACAAAACCTGTGCAGGATGCATGTCACTGTAAGGGCTGTCTTTCTGTTGCTATGAAGAGACACCATGAGCACAGCCACTCTTATAAAGGAAACACTTTTAATTGGGTTGGCAGCTTTCAATTCAGAGGTTTAGTCCATTGTCATTTTGGCAGGGAGCATGGCAGCGTGCAAGGAGACATGGTGTTGGCTGCATCTTGATCAGAAGGCAGTAGAATGAGAACTGTCTCACTGGGTGGTATCTTGAGAATACGAGACCTCAAAGCCCACACCCACAGTGACACACTTCCTCCAACAAGGCCACACCCACTCCAACAAAGCCACACTTCCCATCAGTTTCATTGCCTTTGCGGACCATTTTCTTTCAAACTATCACAAGGGTTCATGGTGTCCCTGACTCTCCTTTTCTTAAGATTTCCTTAGGGATCAACTTGCAAAATGTAAAACAGGTGATGGATGTTAGTGAGTGAACCACCATGCCCCATTCCAGCCCTGACAGTTTCTGTCTGTGGCCAGTCTTGTTTCATTCAGAGCTCCTTAGGCCCACATTGTCTGAAAGCAACCACAGACTCTGAGCCATGATAATCTGAAGACTTGTCCTGTGGTCATACTGTAGCGTGCTGTGTTTCCGTACTGGCTCAGCTGTCCCTGCCTGGAGATTCGCCCCTGTGTCTGGGCCCCTTGGTGTGTGGCATCTGCCTGTCTTTCCTGTTGTGTCAATGGGCCTGTTTCTCCCCTGCTTAATCTTGATCAAATTGTGCTGCAGGTACAAACCGGGCCCTTCTGTGCAAGTCTACAGTGGATGGGTTACAGGTGACACAGCTGAATGTGGACCACACCACGGAGAACGAGGACGAGCTCTTTCGTCTGTCACAACTGGGTGACTAAGGGAGGCTGGGCTGGGGGAGCTGTGGGAACAGGGGGCCAGCTCCTGGACTCCCTCTGTGCCCTTCCTTTGGTAACTGGGAGAGGGAGGTGCGTTCTAGGAGGACTGTTGTGACTTGGGAACTTCTTCATCTGTGTGGTGAGCATAGTGGTAACGCCCCTGTGAAGAGTTAATGTGTGTGGACTGCTTCCCAGAGAAGTCCTGGCACATGGTAGGCACATACATATCCCTGTCAGACCAAGAGAGCAGAGATGTCTTGCAGTCCCAGTGTGGACAGAGCCTGGCCTTTCCTCCCTGCTCTGCAGACACGGCTGCCTTCTGGGCTTTGGGCAGAGGCAAACAGGACTGCTGGCTAGTGCTGCAGTGCCTACAGGGAGAGGCCTGTATTGGTTACTTTCTCATTGCTGTGGCCGGATACCTGGCAGAAGTAACTTAAGGGAGAAATGGCTTTTGGCTAATGGTCTAAAGGGATCCATCACATTGAGAAAGCATGGTGACTGAGTCTCCACCGGTGGCAGCAGGACTCTGTGATGGCTTGATGGCTTATTATTAAATCTTAGCAAACCAGGAAGAGAAGAGAGGGGACCAGAAGCTGGTTAGCCTACACCTTCCAAAACCTACTCTAAAGTCCTCCTGCCAGCTAGACCCAATAGCCAAAGGTTCTGTAACCTCTCAGAACAGCACCACCAGCTAGGAAGAACTCAGTATTCAGACACACAAGACCATGGGTACATGACATCTTTTTTTTTTTTTTTTTTTTTTTTTTTGCTTTTTTGAGACAGGGTTTCTCTGTGGCTTTGGAGGCTGTCCTGGAACTCGCTCTGTAGACCAGGCTAGCCTTGAACTCACAGAGATCCGCCTGCCTCTGCCTCTCGAGTGCTGGGATTAAAGGCATGTGCCACCAACACCCGGCGGGTACATGACATCTTAAGCCATAGTAGGCCTGAGTGAGGGTTGGGTTATGGTTGGGTACTGAGAACAGTGGAACACAGGGTTGTTGTGCTCTGTAGTACCCTGGCATCATTTTCATTTCCTGTTATTTTGTCCTCACTCACCATGTGTGCAGATGTCACATCACCATCCCCTTTCACTCTTCACGGAGGAGAAAGGGGCTGAGCTGTCCTCTCTCTGGTAGGTTTGGATGCAGGAAAGATCAAGCAGGTGGGCATCATCTGTGGACAGGAGAGCACCAGGCGCATCGGAGATTACAAAGTCAAATATGGCTACACTGACATTGACCTGCTCAGGTAGGTGGCCATCCCTGCGGTTTGTGAGACCAGAGGACCTGGAGTAAAATCATCCTAGGCTTCAGTGGCAGGGATGGTATTGAAAGTTCAGGCCCAAGGAGATGCTCTCTGCCTCCAGAGACCCAAGTGTGGAGTGGGGCCTAGGCCAGCAGTCTGGTCCTGTGAGCTAGGCTCACAAGGGTCCAGGATGGCGCTGACCAAGTCCAGAGCAACAGAATCGCCACAGGGCCTGGCAGGAGGGTCCAGTGATAGCATGAGGTGCCAGTGTGACAGGAACTGACTAGACCAAAGGGCTGTTAGTCCATGTCTGTGACTTAGGCCAGCTGGAGCTGGGGGATGAATCGTCTGTCTCTTCTAGGGCTGTTCCATCTGGGTGCTACCTACACCGCATGGTAGTGATAGTCTGGTGAGCCTTTGCTGTGCCTGGTGCTCACTCCTTATGCATTCCCTCTTGTTCACCTCTTACTCAGGCCCTCTCAGCTGGGGGCTGTCATGACCCCACAGGCAAGTCCATGAGAGGAAACTGAGGCATGGAGACATCCAAGACCCTGGCAGTCATAGCACTAGTGATGGAGCAGGCAGCTGAATTTGGAGCATGTGTCCTTCACTCCTCCCCCTCCCAGAACCTGAATGTCCTGGATTTAAAAGCTTTGCCCCTAGTTTGCAGGGTTCTGTTTACTTTATTGAATAGGCAGTCTATGGCTTAAAACGCATCAGAAAGGATTTGAGCAGCCTTCTATCCCAAACCAGACCTCCCCCACCTAGAAGCTGCTGGTCCCTTGAGTGCTCTGCCTCGGATGTCCTAGCACACACGTGCACTGTGTGCTTGTGGGGGGCGGGGTTAAGGTGCATCCTCAAGCCTTCCTAGTGCTGTGCTCTCTTCTTCTCTATGAACCACTTCATTAACATCTGACTTGGAAAGGAGCAGCTCAGTGTGGCCAGGACAGGTCATGTGCCTCTGCGTCTGTGACACTTGCATACCTATCTTGTGACAAAACACTATGATTCCAGCAGATGGCATGACAGTGTCTACCTAAGCAACCAAGTAATGACACCAAGGATGTTTCCTCTCGTGTTTTGTCAATAATGTCCTCACAGGACGTGTGCTAGAGTACTTTGACACTATAATGATTGACACACATCTGCCATGGTATTATGTGGGATCTTAGTTGGGATAGACACTTATCTTGGCAGAGTTCAAGTTATAACAAGAGGATGGGCTTTTGTTTTTAAGTTTATTTTTACTTCAAAATAGGCCCTTACTAGTAACCCAGACTGGGAAGACCATAGGTCGTGCCTCTATTGTGTTGACTTTGACATCATCATGCTCCTGTGACATCTGCCCAAGTACTGGGAATACAGGAATTCATCACGTCACCCATCTGACATACAGGCTTTTGAGAGATAATCTCTCAGCCAGGTGCAGTGGTGGTATAAGTTTGTCACCCGGAACTTTACAGGTATAGAGACAGCAGTATTAGGAGCTCAAAGTCATCCTTGGTTACATAATTGTAAATCAGTGGAGGCTACAGGAAATCATATCAAATAATAAGTAAATAAGTAACATTTTTTAAAAGATTTATTTATTTATTTATTATGACTACAACATCCTGACTCCATGTATGTCTGCGCATACCAGAAGAGGGCACCAGATCTCATTACAGATGGTTGTGAGCCACCATGTGGTTGCTGGGAATTGAACTCAGGACCTCTGGAAGAGCAACAGTCATTTTTTTAAAGATACATTTATTTGTTATGTATACAGTGTTCTGCCTGCATGTATACCTGCAGGCCAGAAGAGGGCAGCAGACCTTATTACAGACGGTTGAGAATCACCATGTGGTTGCTGGGAATTGAACTCAGGGACCCTGGAAGAGTAGCCGGTGCTCTTAATCTCTGAGCCATCTCTCCAGTCCCAGTAGCAGCCATTTTGATGCTGCCTTCCTTTTCATTCCGCGCTGTGCAGGCCAGGCTGTGGCTGTGGCAGGAAGTACAAAGCAGAGTCTGGACCTGGCCTCTGACCTTTGTCATCATGGCCTCTGGGCCTTTCTTTGGTGGCTGCCCTCAGGAGTCAGGCCGTTCTGCTTTTCTCATTCCCTCTGTCCCTTTCTTTCTTATCCAGTCAAATGTTTTCTGTTCAGAGTGTAGATTCTTAACCCTCAGCAGAGGCAGTGCCCCCAGGGGGCCTTTCCACACAAAGCCCTCTCTCTCTCTCTCCTCTCTCATAGTGCTGCCAAGACCAAACCCATCATTGCAGAGCCAGAGATCCATGGTGCCCAGCCTCTGGATGGCGTGACAGGCTTCCTGGTGTTGATGTCCGAGGGACTCTACAAGGCCCTGGAGGCAGCCCACGGGCCAGGGCAGGCCAACCAGGTGAGCTGAGTAGGGCGAGCCGGTCATGGCAAATCAGCTCATGGGCAGTATGCTGGTAACTTGGAACCCCGATTCTCAGTGCTGTCACCAGTTATCTTTTAGGGCTCAAAGCCAGGGCCTGAAGCCAAAGGAGGGAGGGGAGGTGGGAACTGTCCTGTCCCAGGGCTGTAGAAAAGGAAGGGAACAGAGCCAGAGCGGGCAGAACACTGCCAGGTCAGTCTCATTTCCCCTTCCCACTGGGCCTCGGTACCAGAAGCCGTCAGAGCAACTTGCAGGCTCACACAGGATCTGTGTGCTCTGTACTGACAAAGGCCTTGAGGTTGCCTGGCAGGCGCTCTACCACGAAGTTACCATCACAGCCCATTTTGTTTTTGTTCTTTTGTTTTTGTTTTTGTTTTTTTTTTCGAGACAGGGTTTCTCTGTGGCTTTGGAGGCTGTCCTGGAACTCGCTTGGTAGTCCAGGCTGGTCTCGAACTCACAGAGATCCTCCTGCCTCTGCCTCCCGAGTGCTGGGATTAAAGGCGTGCACCACCAACACCCGGCTTATTTTTGTTTTGAGACAAGCAGTTGCCTAAGCTAGGCTGGACTTGGTAACCCAGGCAAGACTCAAACAGCATCCTTCTGCCCCAGCTCTTCTGGTAGCAGTGCTGGACTAGGACTTGAAAGATGACTAGCTGCCTGTGTCTTGAGTGGCCGAGTTCAGGCTGCCTCTCTTTTGATGCGGCTCTCGTGCGTGTAAGAAGGCAATACTTGCCTGCTTTTCTTTCCTCTTTCTTTTTGAGATGGAATCTTGCTCTGTAGCCTCGGCTAGCTTGAATCTAGTGATGTAGTCCAGGCTGGCCTTAAACTTGGAATCCTCCTGCCTCTGCCTCCCAAGTGCTGGGGTTACAGGTGTGTGCCACAGTGCTCAGTCCTGCTTCCTACTCTTTAATGAAAGCCTGGCTATCACCTAATCCCTGGTTCAATGTTTTAGTCTTGATTCCAGCAGCCTATAGCATATCGGGCCAGTGGTTACTTCCTCATGGAAGAGGTCTAGTGTCCTGTCTCAGGTGGTGTGGCTGGGCAGACCCAGCCACACCTCCGCCAGCCTTTCCCTACCCCTGCCCCTGCTTCCAGGAGGGGACAGCCCAATGCTCAGGTAGAGGACTTGAGCTTGTGCTTTTGGTCCTTTTTGTTTTGTTTGAGACAGGGTCTCTCTTTGTGTGGTCTGGAACTTGCAGTGATTCCCCTGTCTCTGCCTCCTGAGAGCTGGAGTACAAGTATATACCACATCTGCCAAGGAGCTTTTGACATTCAGTGTGATTTTTTTTTTCCCTTTCCCTTTTGGGCTTCACAAGAGATGCACTGAGAAGCGTCTAGTAGATTCTAGAATACACCAGACAGAGGACTTCTTGGAGGGCAGCTCCTGACAAATGCTTTGCGTGTGGAGTAGGTGTTTTCTCCAGGGCAGAAGGCATAATCACAGCCTTTGCCTGTGTTTCTTAGCAGTCCTCCGAGTGCCCTTGTCCCGTTATGTAATCCCACTGAGGTGGGTGTTACCCACTAAGAGGTGGAAGCCAGAGGAGAGATCACAAGATCCCACACCTTTTCTAGTCAGTGTGTTCCAGAAGGGTTATCTGGAACAGCTTGAAAAGCTCAAATTACAGTTTAACTGGCAGAGACTTCCTTCACCTGCTAGGCTAGCGATCCCTAAGTCCCCTAAACAGGGCTCTGGAATGTTGGCCCCTTCTCCTGAGTCACCCTGCATTCCTCCTCAAGTTCTCCCTCCACACCCCCAGGAGATTGCAGCAATGATTGACACCGAATTTGCTAAGCAGACCTCCCTGGATGCAGTGGCCCAGGCTGTGGTGGATCGTGTAAAGCGTATCCACAGTGATACCTTTGCCAGTGGCGGGGAGCGTGCCAAGTTCTGCCCACGGCATGAAGACATGACCCTGCTGGTGAGGAACTTTGGCTACCCGTTAGGTGAAATGAGCCAGCCTACGCCGACCCCAGCCCCAGGTGTGTATGCCGTGTACTGTACAAACAGGGGCCCCTAAGATGGGTCCTGGGCTGGAGGCAGCACAGGTTGGCTAAAGAGATGACTCTCTGCCTGGCAGATGGAATCAGTGGCCTGGCCTTGCCCAGCACAGGCTGTCAGACGTACAGACTCCGAGCTGCCAGTCTGTCTTCAGTCATTTTGTCTGTAGAGGCCACTCCTAAAATCTTGATGCGTGAGCACACTGCATACAGTCGCTAAGGCAGGTAGCAGAGGTGATAGCTGCCATCATTGATGGTGGAACATCTCCTAGCTGTGCCCTGCCAGGAACATAGTCACTTCACCCTCATTAGCAGCCCTACCAGGAAGGGGAAAGGCTCTAGGATGAAGGGACCTGGATGAGGTCAGGTATGGGGACAGATGGTCTACCCCAGAACCTGGCACTGTGTTAGACCACTTTGGCCTGAGGAGACATTTCATTCTCCTTTTTTCCTCTTTAGTCCTCGAATAAAGTTGTTTGTGCAGAGATGAGACCCGCTGTACTGGTCCCAAGGATTACATTTTCTTTTTGTTTTTAAACAAGCAAATCCTGGAGCTCCCGCCTCCGCATGGGTTTGGTCTCCCATGGACACCAGGGTTACTGGTGTCCCTCTGGCTTGTTATTGCAACCATTTTTTCATTGGGTCAGCCTCAGCTAGGAACAGACTGGCCTCTAGATGAAAGCATCCATGCAAAGTCAGGCAGTAACCCTTTCATTGAGGCCGTGAAGCATTTCATTCCATTCCTGCCTTGATCCCCAGTGGGCTTCCTTGCTGGAGGGAAGTTCTACTGCTGTCTGGAAGAGATTCTACCAAGGGATATCCACCCTGGGCCACCCCAAAGGTAGAAGGCCATGTTGGGACTTTAGGGGACTGGTAACCCTGACATAGCCCTCGTCACTCAAGAGCCACACTACCCTGAACTGATTTCCATTCCCCTGCTCTCTCTCTCCTATTGCAGGGGGCCGTGTGTACCCTGTTTCTGTGCCCTACTCAAGTGCCCAGAACACCAGCAAGACCAGTGTGACACTCTCCCTCGTCATGCCTTCTCAGGGCCAGATGGTCAATGGTTCTCACAGTGCCTCCACTCTGGACGAAGCCACTCCTACCCTCACTAAGTAAGATGTCACACTCTAGAGACATCCTGGGTACCTGGAGAGAAACAGCTGCACACCCAAGCCCCAGGGCTCATTAGGGTGGATGAGAGGCCCGGAGGTGTGGGGCCTCCGGGGTCTGGGGCCTCTCCAGTGCCCACCCCCTCCTTTGGGGTAAGGAGTCTCCTTAGACACAGGCAGGAAGGAGCAGTACCATTAGTCCTAGCAGGTGTTAAAACTGGGTCTGGGCCTGGGCAGGTGGAGGGTCAGGGCAGGGTGGACAAGGAGGCTGAGAAAAGAGGGGGCAGCTGACTGGTGGTGTTTTGGGGCAGCAGTTGTCCATGGACAGTTTCTCTTGTTTTGGAGCTTGTCACATAGGGTCACTGGCTTCATGCATCTGTAGTTGGGGAACATTGCCTGGCCTGGCCTGGCTCCTCGGCCCTGCTATTTTCTCACTAAGATGTGCTGTCGCTGTCAGCTGTCTATTCCACAGGGCACTGGGGAAGGGGGTCATTCCCTGAGAGGAGGGCGCAGTGCAGACCTGCCTGACGGGGCTGCTGTCCACCTGCCCCTCCATTTCTGTGACTGTGCACCCTGCTCCCCTCCCCCTCCAGGGATCTGGTTTCCACATTCTAGCCCTGCACTGCTGGAATAATACAGCTGCCACACCCAGCCCCTCTACATGGATAGAGCTTAGCCGGATGTGGCCAATTAGAAGGGCTGGTAGGGAGGGAGTGTCCTTGTTTCCCTCTGCCTCTGCCTCTTCAGAGGGACTCCCTTCTCCTGTCCCCAAGTCTTTGCTGGAAGGGACTGGTAGACATGGTGGCTGTGTGTTGTCACAATCAGGATAGCCTCTCCTCCCCACAGGCTTCCCCGGAAGCCACCAGCAGTGTCCACAAAGCAAGACTTCATGCTTCTCTCCTGATTCCTTGAGCCTCACAGATCTCCTCCTCTCCTGGCTCTGAGCCTTTTTCTGTCACCTGGGCCAGCCTTGAGCTGTCAGACAGCAAGCTAATGGATAGCTCTGTGAAGAGCGGTGGGCCATGGTGAATGTGTCTTAGAGATCAAGCAGCGGACTAGCACCCATGAACGCCTCAGTCCAGTCCTCAATAGCATGGCCTTCTACCATGGTGTTAAGGGTGCTGTGGCAACGCTTTCTGGATTGGAGAGATCGCTCAGTGGTGAAGAGCTCTTGCTGCTCTTACAGAGGACCTCAGTGGTCCCCAGCACCCATATCAGATGGTTCACAACTACCTGTGACTCCAATTGCACAGGATCTGATGCTCCATGGGCACCCTCCACATACAGAAAAGGAAAAAATAGACAATTGAAGACTGCATAACAGATGCTACTGATCCCGTGCTTGGGAGAGTTAGGCAATATAGCAAGACTCTCTCAAAAAACAAAATAATACACTTGCCATTTTATCTATCTCTAAGATCAGCTGTCCCAGCTGGCTTTTATGGGTTTTTGTCAGAGAGGCCTGTGGCTACAGAAACCACTCCTGTCACTAGGTTGGAAGTTGAGGTCCCTGGTGCAGCTACCCCAGACTGATTCCTTCCCGTCTTCTTCTGCAGCCAGAGCCCCACCCTGACCCTCCAGTCCACCAACACACACACGCAGAGCAGCAGCTCCAGCTCCGATGGAGGCCTCTTCCGCTCCAGACCTGCCCACTCACTCCCACCTGGTGAGGACGGCCGTGTGGAGCCCTATGTGGACTTCGCTGAATTTTACCGTCTCTGGAGTGTAGACCATGGCGAGCCGAGTGTGATGACGGCACCTTAGTCTAGCCTCAGAGCGCAGCCTTGGCAGGACTTTGTAGGCACAGAAGGCTAATGCTAAGGCAGGACAAACTTCTTGACCTTTGCAGGTGCCATGGAATCAGTGGGCAACGAGTCATTGGTGCTGTAGGTTCTGTCCCACAGCTCTGGGTGGTAGCCTGAGTGCAGGCTGCATTGCTGGTCCACACAGGAGGCTGGAGGCCAAACCACAGGCATCCTTAGACAGGGAAGCTGCAGGTGGCTGGCAAACCATCAAGAGTGCCTCCTGACGTATTCAAAGAATAGCAAGAAGCTGACCTGTGGACCCCCAACTGCCACAGATCTGACAGACACTCCTCCCTCAAGTGGCCTCCCCGCCTCAACCTCCCCAGGAATAGCCTGTGACCTCTGCTAGTGCTCTCTGCCTCCAGATGGCTTTCCCCTTTCCATCTTTCAGGCTAAACTCCTAGATCCAGAGTAGGGGACGCCTGGAATGTGTGCCTGTCCCTAGTTCTCCCTGGAAAAGCCAAGGAAACAGTGGGGCCTAGAGCAGCCACAGGGGAGCAGGACAGGGAAGGACCAGAGAGAGCTGGCCAAGGAATACCAGTCCCAGGCTATAGGACAGCCAGCTGGCAGCTGAGCTAACCCAGGGAGCAGGCTTCCCATTGGGGTGCAAATGGTGAGGGCAGGCCAAGTCTGAAGGAAATGCCCACCAGCCTTCCTCCCAGCTGGTACTGCGGAGACTGAGGGGGTACTGAGTGCAGCAGCCTTCATGATGAAGCTGGTTGGCTGTGGGCTCTGCTGAGAGGAGAGGATATGACAATGCTTGTGGACATGAAGGGAAAGACGGTGCTGGTCAGGCCCTGAGTTGGACCAGTTGACACAAGTTTCCCACCTTCAATCAGGAGGACTACCACATGGCTGCCTGCAGCATGGCCGCCCCATGCTCAGAGGAGGAAGCAGGCCATGGTGCTCCCTTGCCTGAGCCCTGCCATCAGTACTGGAGTCCGAGCTCAAATCTGTGGCCTTGTAACTGTGGTGTTCCACAATCCCTTTCCCAGTATGTCCAGCCGCTGGGCAAAGTGTCCAGTGTCTCCTGTTGGCAAAGGCCAGTTCAGAGCAGTGCTCGCTTAGACTCCATTTCCCTAAAGTGAGGCTGCACACTCAGTGCCAAGGAGAACCTGGGATTCCTGGGGGAGCGAAGGGGAGCACAAAAGCAGGGGAGAAGCCTTCCTTGCTGCTCTCCACTAGGAAGCACAGAGACTTGGGACAAAGGAGTCTCTCCAGGAAAGTGGTGCTGTTTGTTCTCCAGAAATAGAACCATGTTCCTAATGCAGTAAACTAAAGATGTGTGTCTTTTTGTCTGTTCTGTGACCTGAGCACCCAGGAGGTAGCTGCCCCCTGTTCAGCTCAGGAGGTTTGAGAATCAAGCCTGCCAGACTGATTTTCAAATCCCAGTGCAGGGATTTGAACTCAGGTTACTTGGCTCTCCACACCACGGGCCTCAACCACTCAGCATTTGTTTTTTGGGTTTGGGTTTTTGTTTTTGTTTTTTGGTTTTACGAGACAGGGTTTCTCTGTATTGTTTTGGAGGCTGTCGGTCCAGCCCGGCCTCGAACTCACAGAGATCCGCCTAGCTCAGCATGGGTTTGGCCACATGCCTGCTGTCTGAGTTAAAGAGGGCAATGCTGTTGTTCTCCTTGGGGAATAAGCCCAGGAATGGGGTGGGGTAGGCTTAGGTCACAGGTCGGAGGCCTCGCCCCCCTCACCACTGGTTGGTTTCATTTGGCTTTATTTGGCTGAAGGATATCTTTAGAATGCCTTTCTCATCTGAGGACTTCACTCATCCTCTCAGGATTGCGTGCCTGCAGGCTAAGAAGCTATGTCTGCTCTGGAACAAAGCTGGGCTCTGTCCACTGTGGTCACTGGGTCCCACACCCTCCCCTGTGCTGGGCAGAGGGTTCCACTTTCAGGGCTTCCTGTCCACCTCTGCCCTCAGGTGCCCTGAGGGTTCCCATGCCCTCAGCTCCCGAGACATGCTGTGTCCAGGGCTGGCTTTGTCTCACAGGACTGAGGCACTGTGCTCTCAGCTTTGTGCCGTCTGACCCCGGCTCTGGTACCACTATTCCATGTGTTCATGGGGGAACTATGTTCTTTCAATGCCCAGGCTTCCTTTGCTGTGTGATTGCTTGGGGCCCGCTGGAAGAGTCTGGGAGTCTTTGAATTTCTGGAGAAGCCCAATGTTAACACCAGAAAAACCTCTCAGCAGCTAGACAGAGCAGTGTCAAGGCCAGGAAGGCAAGTGGCCTATGCTGGGTTAGAGCCGTCTCCACCCTTGGTCTCTCCTTTCCTGAGGCTAGATCAGACAGACACTCACATAATCCTTCATACCTTGTCCCCTCCTAGAACTCAGTCCCAGGCTTAATTAACTAAAGCAGCTGCCTGGATGAGACCAGCTGGAGTCAGGACCTCAGAGTCAGTGCCCTTGGGTATCAGCAGGCTTCTTGGGGCTTCTGGCTCTCCCACCAGACTCTGATGCTCTGGTGCTGACAAGTGTGACAGAGAGACCACCCAGAGAGTGTCATCCACTGACTTCAGAGGGGAAACAGTTCCATTCTTAGCACTGGGCTCCTCTTGTCACACCAGGTTCAGCATAAGTGCCAACTCCTGGGAGAGGCCTGCTCCACGTGCTCAGCTCTCTTGCAGAAATTCACTGTCGTGCCCAGCTCAGGTCCATGGGCCTAGTGTGTAGTGGTCTCTTACAGTTTAAGCAACTAGAGCAATTGAAGGGACAGTCATAAGGATAAGGATGGCTTCCTAATAGGATTGTCTAACCACCATGGGCAGTCCTATAGTGATATGTAAGTCCACCCCAGTCCTTCCGTGCCACATGGACTAGGGACTCGGACAGGTCACAAGAGTGTCAGACAAAATCTACCATGTGCCAGAGTCAGCTACCGCGTCGAGTGGTGGCTCAGTCGGAGCTGTCGCAGCGTAGGTGCTGGGCCAGTGCACCTGCAGTTTCATCTAAGGGTCCAGACGCAGGGCAGCGGCTTCTAAGCTGAAGCCCAGATGGACGCATTTGGCCTGGCTCCCAAATCTTTCCTGTGACACAGGAATCTCACGATTCCTCCTTCTGGGCCCCTATTTAGAAACCAAACAAGAACACATCATTGCCAGTCCGCCGCCCCCCCCCCAGACACAGCATGAGCATGGGCTTTGTTCCCACGCAAAGGTGACGCCAGCTCGGAGTACAGACTAGCTCTTGACATTTCCACAAGCCTGGAGGGTCTCACCGAGGACAGACTGCCTGGTCAGTGGGACCATTGACCCCACTGGCTGGGTCCATTTCTGCCCGTGGGAACTGCCTGAGCTAGCTTTCTCTCTTACTGTCTCAGTCTGGGGGGGCCTGGAACAGGAATGGGACTCACAACCTGTGTCTGTTCCCCCTACCTGCCATGATGATGCTCCTGCACGTGTCACTCTGTGGTCCAAATAGTGCTGAGCTCAAGAACCTTCCATGGCTCCATCCCCCTGCCTCTCAGCACCTGCTATGTGAGTGATTTGTCAGCCTGCTGGTCCCCTGAGTCCTGAGTTCTGCTCCACACATATCAGTAGCCTAGGACCACCTGAGATGGGGCTGGAAACATGGCTCAGCAGTTAAGAACACTGGCTGCCCTTCTAGAAGACAGGCTCAGGTACCATCACCCACATGGTAGGTCACAGTCATCTGAGCATGCAGTCCCAGGGAACTCAGCACCCTTTCCTGGCCGCCTTGGACTCCAGGCATGCACCTGACATGTAGATGTGCATGCTGACAAAAACACCCATATATACAACTGTTCTTTTGAAAGCCAGGCTTGGTGGAGCATGCCTTTAATACCAGAACTCAGAGGCAATGAATCTCTTAGTTTAAGGCCAGTCTGGTATACATAGTAAGCTTCAAGACACCAAGGGCTACATAGAGAGACCCTGACTCAACACCCCTCCCTCACTCCATGCGCACCAAAAGTCAGTCCTGGGGAGATGGCTCAACATTTAGTGCTCACAGCTCTTGTAGAAGAATCAGTTTTAGTTCCCAGCACCTACATCAAACAGCTCACAACTGCCTGTAACTCCAGCTTTGGAGAATCCAATGCTCTTTCCTGGCTTCTCAAGGCGCTACCCTACCCTGCATATAAATATTTTAAAATAAATATTAAAAAAACAAATGTCTGTTATCCAGGTGTGGTAGCCCATGACTTTAATCCCAGCACTCAGGAGACTGAAGCAAGTGCATCTCTTGAGTTTGAGGCTAGCCTGATCTCCAGTGAGCTCCAGGCCAACCAGGCTACATAGTGAGACCCTGGTTTTCTTTTGTTTTTGATTTGTTTTGTTTTGAGACAGGGTTTCTCTTTGTAGCTTTGGAGCCTGTCCTGGAACTCACTTTGTAGACCAGGTTAGCTTTGAACTCAGAGATCCACCTGCCTCTGCCTCCTCTGCCTCTGCCTCCTGAGTGCTGGGATTAAAGGTGTACTCAACCAAAGCCTGGCTGAGACCCTGTTTTCAAAAAAACAAAAATAAAGTAACAGTGATAGACAAAAGCACGAACTATCCAGAGCCAACCTCCCAAAACGTGGCTACCAGAAATATCTAAAGAAAATTGTCCCACCCTGACCAGTTTTGGGCTTGATGGCAAGTTAGGTGTTTCATCATTTACTCTGATTAGTTTCACATTTGCCTACTGATTTTTGTATATGTGTGGATGTGTTTATGCCACAGCACACATGTGGAGGTCAGAGGTCAGTTCTGTCTTTCTACCATATGGGTCGACAGCAAGCATCCTTCCTACTGAGCCATCTCTCTGACCTTTCAAGACACAAAAGCAAAAAACAAAGATCTCCATGTCAGGTAAATTGACATGGCAGGATGAACACTGTGCTAATCCTATAGGTTAGCAGAACATACTCCACCTCCACCCCCACCCACCTCCGCCTATGAGGGTAGCCCCCGAGGCCCAAGACTAGAGGGCCCCAGTGATCTCAATCAAATCCAGTTGCTGTGTTCCAGATGCATGCTGGGAGCTAACTCAGTCAAAGCTGGCTGAGGGATCTAAAGGTCATTCAGGCTGCTATCAGAAGACTATCTACAGCTGGCTGTGGATTTTGGAAAGCGTTGTCTGGGAGGTGGGGTACGAGCAGGTGCATACCAGCTGGTATTAGCTGGGGAGAGGCTTACACTGTTGGCTCCAGCCTGGCTGTACACAACCAAGTCCTTTGGCAACTAAGAGGGGGTGGCTGTTAAAAATACGGTGTCCTGGCTCCACTTTGAATCTGCAAAGCAAGCACAGAGAGGGGACACCCTGGAGGCCCACAAGACCCAGGCTCATAAGAAGGCTGGTAAGACGGACCTGCCTTCCAATTAGCCATCATGGTTTGGTGCTCAGGATTTCTTCACCTAGATGCCCCTGGGTGATTTCGGATAATGCCCATGAACGTCACTGGTCACCGTCTTATCTCTAAAGGCAAGTTAAAGGCCAGACATAGGTATGGCAATACACCCCAGGCATGTAGCTGAGGTACAAGGATACCAACTTTGAGAACGGCCTAAGTTATATAGTAAAACCCTGAGTGAAATAAAAGTAGGGGCGCAGCTTAGTCAATGTGTATTTGCCTAGCATGCACAAAGTCCCAGGTTCAAACCTCACTCAGCATCTCATGAAACAGCACTGAAGAGGTGGAGCTAGGAAGATCAGAATGTCAAGATTGCCCTTGGCTGTACACCAAATTCAAGGCTAGCCTGGCCTTAAGTAAGAGTAAGTAAATAGGGCCAATGAGATTTGGCTCAGCAGTTACAGGTGGCTGCTGCCAAGTCTGATGACTCACTACACTGATATCTCAGTGTAGTGAGATATTATTTATGATTTATTAAAGCTCGCCTGAGGATTCAGAAAGCAAAAGTCAGCCACAAGGTATAATAGCCAAGTGGTGGTGGTACATACTTTTAATCCCACTGCTTAGGAGGTAGAAGTAGATGGATCTCCGTTAGTTCAAGTCCACTGATCCAGTCCTAAAGAGAAACAGCTCACACAAAAAGGTGATCTCAGCCTTTGGGATCACACGCCCTCAATCCCAGCATTAGGGAGGTATAAAAGACAGGAGCAGGGTCTCAGAGCTGGCATTCAGTCTGAGTCAGTCTCTAGCCACGTTGAGGAGAGCATAGCAGTCTGAATGAATCTGAGGAGCAGTGAAGTCAAGAGCAGTTTGAGGAGCGCCCCTTTGGTCTGAGCTCAGGTAGAGGTAAGAGCTGGCTGGCTGCTTTGTATTTTTGATCTTCAGCTTGAAGCTTGAACCCCAATATCTGTCTCTGGGTCTTTTATTTATCGTGCTACATTTCAAGGTTCTTCAAACAGGAGAGTCTGATGAGAGGGTTGAAGACAGGAAAGAAATGGGGTTACTCGCTTGCTGAATAGTGCCCATTTCTCTGGGCTCTGCAGACTCCTGTGGACTCCAGGCTCTCCCATCAGGGCCTAAAAAGTTCTCATCGGTGTTGGTGCCTAGGGAAGGTGTCGTCCCCCCTGCTCCCACTGAGATCTTAGTAGTCTTCTAGGATTGGTCCTCTGGGTGGGTAGGCAGCATGAGGAGGGAGGGGAGTCTCAGGACAGAACCTTGCAGGGTTCAGAAGCAATGTCTTTGATTATGCGCAGGCTTGGCCCGGCCACTGTAGCCCTCCTTGCAACTCAGGCTAAACTCCTTGGGGAGTGTACACCTGGTTCAGTCCTAGGGAGGTTTTCTTGAAACAGACAGTCTCAGTATGTTATATAAGTTCTGTCTTACACCTCCCAAGAGCTGGAATCATAAGTGTGAAATCCAGCCAGGTGTTGGTGGCGCACACCTTTAATTCCAGCACTCAGGAGACAGAGGCAGGGCAGATCTCTGTGAGTTTGAGGCCAGCCTGGTCTATAGAGCGAGTTCCAGGACAGCCTCTAAAACAATACAGAGAAACCCTGACTCGAAAAAACAAAAAAATTAATAAAATAAGTGTGAAACCCCTGACTTTATTATTTCTCAATGGTTGGCTTGGGACTTACTGTGTAGACCAGGCTGACCTCAGCCTCACAGAGATCAGCCTGCCTCTGCCTCCTGAGTGCTGGGGTAAAGATGTGAGCCACCTTGTAGGGTATTCGTCTTTGCCAACCCCATCCCCATCTTAGGTAGTTCATGTTGGCCTTGAATTCATTATGTAGCCTAGGCTATCCTTAAACTCCTGATCTCTCTCTCTCTCTCCTTCCCTCCCTCCCTCCCTCCTTCCCTCCAGTGTTGTGGTTCCATACCATTGTCACCTACCACCATGTCCAGATTTTTATTTCTTAGTTTTTTATTTTTTAGTTTTTTCGAGACAGGGTTTCTCTGTGGCTTTGGAGGCTGTCCTGGAACTCCCTTGGTAGTCCAGGCTGGTCTCGAACTCACAGAGATCCGCCTGCCTCTGCCTCCCGACAGATTTTTATTTTTATTTGAGACAGTACCACACTGTGTCGAGCCTGGATTTGAGACAGTACCACACTGTGTCGAGCCTGGGCTAGCCTAGAACACTTGGTTGATCCTCCTGCCTCAGCCTCTAAAGTGCTAGGATTACACGTGGATTCTATAATGCCTAGCCCTGGAGAAATGTTTTTAAACTCAAGCCACCCAAAGCCCGGGAGCCTGGTGACTTTGATGAGGATGGGTTGGGGACAGAAGAGACCAACCTTTTCCCTCTGCAACTGCACTGTCCTCAGTCAGCGGAAGGGAAAGTAGCCAGTGTCTGCCGTGTCTAGTAGAGCAGTGACAGGAAGGGCCCTCAGCTGGTGGGGTAGGACTCTCGGCTCTTCTCCACAGAACAGCAAGTGGCCACGTGTCTGATAGAAATGGCTCCTGTGTCTAGAGCTCAAGCCTGGGCCAGCACACTGGCACCCCGTATCCTCAACCATCTGCCCTGTGGGTGTCAGGCTGCTGTCTCTTCATCATCTCTCTCCAGAAGCAGAATGACCACATGCCTTCATCCCCCCCCCCCCCCCCGGAGAAAACAGTCACCTCAAACCTGGAGGTTCAGACCTGGGAATGTTCTGGTTGCTCTCACTTCATTAATGATCAGATCAAGCCACAGCCAGCCCAGGTTCTGGGAGGAACTGTGGGAGGTGTGACCCAGAGGAGGAAGTGATGGTGACTCACTTTGCAGACCCTCTTCTGCTGCTTCTGTGTGGCAGATGTGAGAGCAGGCTCTACCTTGCTGGGTGGGACAGGCAAGTTCAGCTGGCCAGGCCCTGGCCCCCTCCAAGCTTTACTCTTCTCCATGAGCCCAGCCACCCTGCTTACCGTCACCGTTGAAGGGCCCAGTGAGGAATGAGGCCAGGCTTGCTCCTGTTCATAACCTATAGATGAAGTGGGGTTTTTTTTTTTTCCCCTTAAACCACAATTGTTGCTGGGCATGACAGCTCATGCCTGTAATTCCCAGAATTCAAGCTCCAAGGTCATCCTGGACTCCATGGCAATACAGAAACCCTGTCTCAAAACAAAAGTAGAATTGTTTGTGCGTTCTTAAGTCTTTCCAGGTGCCAAACCACACACTGTCACGGCGGCAGGTGGCTATCCAGAAATGCCCAGCAGGCCTATGTCAGCCAGGAATAGGCCAATTGTGTGCCTGTGCCATCAGGCTACACTGGTAGAGACGCTGGGGTGGAAAGGTCTAGAAAACGTATCATAGGGGTGCTGGAGAACCTTGGAGAGAAGGGAAGGACTTCATCAAACCACCAAGAAAAGAACCAAACCTGCTTTAACCAGCCCCAGGCAACTGGTTCTAGAAATTGTAGTGTCCAGAACCACTTCACACACACCATGATAATTAGAGCTGTGTGTGTGTGTGTGTGTGTGTGTGTGTGTGTGTGTTGTTTTCTTTTTTAAGAGAGTGAGCACCACATGACAGAAGATATGGCAATCAAGGCTTTACAGGCTGGGGTCCAAGGAGGAGGGTGACCCCAAAGTCCCCATCAAGTTCACAGGTGTGAGGTTTTCTGAGACAGGGTTTCTCTGTTTTGGAGGCTGTCCTGGAATTCACTCTGTACACCAGGCTGGCCTCGAACTCACAGAGATCCACCTGCCTCTGCCTCCCGAGTGCTGGGATCAAAGGCGTGTGCCACCACCGCCCGGCCAGACTGTGAATGTCTTAAAGGTCATTCTATCAGCCAATCCAGGTAGACAATAGGTTCTGTGGTCTTTTTGTAGCCAGTCTGGGGTTTAATGGATGAATTTTGCTGTGTTTCTAGCTCTACTGTTTATCCTGGCTCCACATACACGACCTGGACCCTTGACCAGGACTGAAGTAGCACTTGGCATATTATATTTCTGCTTGTCAAATAGGCCAGAGAAGTTTCTGAGCCATGCAAGCCACCTCTGAGCCCATCCATGGTTTTCAGACTCAGATAACTAAAGACAGGGTGGATTTTTCTGAGGTTGCTTTCAGGCCCAGCACAATCATCCTCCCTGGAGACACTGGGCTACTGGTGAGGCTCAGCATAGTGGTCAAAAGGATGGACATTGAACATCACTGGCCAGCCCGGCAGCTGAACTGAAAGCAAGTGACCAGACCTCAAGTCAGTGTCCTGGGCCTGTGTCCCCACTCTGAGTCATGGGGCCCCTTCCCTGAAGCAGGCATTAAGGTGCACACAAGAGGGACATAGAGCCAGGAAGTAGTGGCCCAGTGCTTGGGAGGCAGAGGCAGGTGGATCTCTGTGAGTGAGTTTGAGGCCAGTCTGGTCTACCAAGTGAGTTCCAGGACAGCCAGAGCTACAACACAGAGAAACCCAGTCTCAATAAACCAAAACCAGAAAAAAGGGGGGCACATAGGGGCAGAAGAGGGATCCTGGGTGACTCTGTACCACTCCTATCAGGCCCTCTCTGTGGTGACCCGGGAATGCTGTGGTATAGGTTTTTGGGGAGTGCCCAGCACGGGTTTGTGAACTTAATGGTATGACCTGGGCGTGCATTTGTGGTATTTGTGTGTATGAGGTTATGTGACTACGAGGCTGAGTGACAGTGTGGCATTAGTGGGGAGACACCCAGTGGGCACAGCCTGGGACAGGTGGGGACTGTGGGGGTGTCTACAGTTGTATGCACACAGCAGCTGGTGAGCCTGCTTCTCTCCAAGGGTTAGGACAGGAAGCAGATAAGTGGGGACACTGGTGTGACTCAGTCCACTCCCCACAGTCATCTGGCCTCCTTTTGATAAGGCCACCCTTGGGGGCCAGTAGGAGATGTCATGCTGCTCAGCGACTTCCTGAAGACACTCCAGCATCTGGGGCTTTCCCAGAGGTCCTCAACCTGAGTTTCCTTTCCCCATCTCCCGGCTGTGGCTTACAATGCACCGTGAACCTCCTGCCTTTGCTTACGTTGTCCCTCAGCCTCGATGCTGTTCTTTTCCTTCCAGTGCTGTGTTTCCACTCCAAGGCCAGGCTGAGCTGCTGCCCAGCATCCCTTGCTTTTCTGCTTTCCCTGGTCTCTTCTGCTATTGGGAACCCAGGTCTTCCAATTGACAGGAGACTCACTCATCTGTCCCTTGGTAGCCTGGGAGTCCAAGGCTGGCCTGTAGTGTTCTCTCTGGGACTGACCTGGTGGCTAAAGCCCTGACTGTGGATCTGGGACCTGGGCAGGGATTCTGGCTCTGTTACTCAGACACCACGCTAGTCTCTAGTTGCCTCACTGGTTTCCAAATGGGGGTCTTGGGCTGCCCAGGAGTGCACAGGGCTGGGATGCCCTGCTTGGGATTGGAGATATAGCAGGGGCCTGAGTTCTCCGGGGTAAGAAGGATACTGCTATCCTAGATCACATACTGGCAGCATGTAACAACCCTGGCCCACTGGGGGACTTCCCAGCACGGATGCCTCGTTCACCAGGGGACTCTTCTCTGGGTTCTAACCTGCTCCTGGCTCCCTGCAGACCCTTCTGTGGAGAGGCATGCCTCAAAAAGCAGACACACAAGCCGGGGAGGGTGCCTGGGGCTCATGGCCATTTGACAGTGTTTGTGGAATTCCTGTTTGTATATGTGCCAGGCTGTGCTGGGTGCAAGCAAAGTCAGCAAAGATCTCTGCCCTCCCAGCAGGGAGACACACAAGGCCACAGTGAGCACAGTTATGTGCTATGCTTGCAGGTGAAAAGTCTGTGGAGGGGGAGGAGGAGTGGCAGGGGAGGAGGCTGAGGGCAGACAA